TGTTTTCTCTTCTTGTCCTGCTCTGTTTCCAGTGCATAAAGCCTCAAAGTCAGCATGTACTCACAAGTGTGTTCCCTACACACATTTGTTGGGGGAAAAACTTCCAGACTGATTTAATGGAAACTGGCAACAATAGCTGACAAGGAAGATGGGAAGTGTACAGGATTTTTCTAGTGTTTAGTCTATCTTCTATATAATCTTCCTTTCTTTGGAAGATGGTATTCCCTTCAGGTAAGTATAATAACTATAACATTGACCAAAGCAAAATCTATGAAGCTTAAAAAAAATTATTTATGCAGGTTTTTCCAAAGATTATGTAGATTATTATAAGTGCTCAAAGTTAGCACAGTTCCCAAATTCAGCTATAATTAGGATTGCAGGTGTATTCAGAAGAAATTCCCATTCAGTTCAGTGAGATATACTTCTAAGTGTACATATAGCTTAAAGAAGCTGTGAAGTAAATATTCAAATTAGCAAAATTAAGCCCAATTGTCTATACATAATTTCAATTTTAAAATGTAAAAAATCCCATTGATGATTTTGGCTGGATAGTGCTCATAACATCTGAAGAACTCACAAGTACAAACACAAAATTAAAGTACCTATAACAATCCTGGAGGTCTACTAAATGAAATTGAGTTTTCAGGCAGGTAATCTAAAAATATACATTACAGGGGAGGAAACAACCCTCTACAGAACTTGTTAAGAAAAATGCAAATACATTTGTCAGCAAAGATGTCTTTCCCATGTTCAACTTTTACCTACAGGCACATTCTTACCTGACTAGCAAGAGAAAGTATAAATGCCCAGTCTTCCTGCCACTGTTCTTCTCGCAGTGAGAAGTGTAAACCAAAGCTTTGAGAATACCATGATTCCCATTCTTTCCATCGAGTATAGAACCTACAAAAAGTACATGTAACAGTTTATTTCCTCACAATGACTGCACTTTCAGCTATTTATTCTGGGATTTGACAGGAGCATGAAGAGAGTAAGAATTAGTATTTCATGTTGCAATAGTTAATTAACATCTCTCTGTGTATGTATGCAGTATATATTGAGTGGACTATGCAAAGCTTTGGATTCATTTGGGAAAAACTGCTTCAGAATACAGGAGTGCTACACAGCATCTGTCTGCAGCTTATTAAAGCAATTGCATCTGTTTTCAGGACTGTGTGAATCATCTTTTCCCAACTGAATCTGAATTATCAATTGATCACTTTTCACTGCTTTTGCAACAATCATCTCCCTAAAAGACTAGTAGATGACCTTCCAAATATAATTATTGTATGTATGTGATCTAGTATCTAAGACAGCAAATCCTTAAGCTGTTTCAATTTTTTCATATTTTCTTCTTCCTTATACCAAGTATTGCTCACTACTTTATTGCACATGCTCATCTAACATTTATAAACTTTACAAGTAACATTTCAACATGAGTGGTGATATACTGATTCCGCACCCATTTCTCACTGAGACAGGATAATCTTCCCTACTCATGGGGTCTTCAAGATCTGTGAACCAGCTCCTAAAATTCTCTAGCCAACATGGCCAATGCCAAAAGTTCTCTAAGTTAAATCCACAGTTCTGGAGATAAGGTCAAAGTTAGAATCACAGCAGAAACATAGAAGCGATATGATTTTTAAATAATTACTTCAAATAAATCTGATTGGACATCAGTTGGCTAATTAAATGTCACTTTAATACAATATATACTATATAGACAAAACTTATTATTTGTATAAATTACAAGATTTCCTGTCACAAAAGTTTCAATATTTTAAGACAGAGTAAGGTTGAACAAGAATTCTGTTTTTGCAGTAAAGGACTAGCAAGTCTCTCTCTCTCAAATCTAAAAGCTTTGGACTTTTGTTTGAAGAAACTGGAATAAACTGTATTTGTGAATTAAGGTCACTGTATAGCAAAACCATTTCTGCTTACCAATGAGAACAATCATGTAAACTGTCATGAAGAGCTTTACGTAGCACCGAATCCTTATCATAAATGCCCCAGGTAGCTTGTAGTACTGAATCAAGCAGGCAATCTCCTGCAGTCCGATTCCAAAGTGCATAAAGTCTACTGTCCAAACGTGTACCCAATTCCAGTGACCAGTTTATAATGGGAGATTCTTCTTCTAGTTCTAGAAAATAGAAACAGTACACAGTCAGCCATTATAAATCCAGTTAAAAAGAGGCAAAACCATCTAGCATCTTTTATTACTTTTAGATAAAGCAAATAATTGCTTTTTCATTCTAGTAACACTTGAGAGAATTTTCAGCAACCTAACATCACTTCTATATCCAAAAAGTCTAAATTTGAGTATCTCCAGTTAAGGCTATTAAGCAGAACTCTCTTACCTTCAAGACAATAGTGGAGAGCTCAGGGGCCAAGTGCTCCCCTAGGCTGCAGCAAGTGAAGCCCAGCAGGAGAAAGGGAGCAGGAAAGTTACTTGCCTGTTCCTTCCTTGCTGCTGTGATAATAGTAGGCCTGAGTCCCAGGAGGTGCTCAGGAGAAAAGGGAGAAAGTAGTCAGAGTTGAGTGCTGGAGAACCCACCTTTGAGGTCTTGATTCTGCCATGTGATCCAGCCCCTCTTTGCCTCATTTCCAGGTGATCCATAACAGCAGCTGCTATTCCTCCCTCATTTGTTCCCTTCCTTCTTTCCCTCTGTTCCTCAGCCATGGTTATTGTGTCCCCATCCACATAACCAGGTTTCTGAAAGCACAGAAGTAAGGAATCTGGGGTCCCTGCAGACCCCATGGAACCTGCCTCCTCTGCCTTCATTATTTGTAACATCCCTGCCTTGAGCATTAAACTAATTTACTTCTCCCACTCTTTTCTGTTATAGTTTTGTTTACCGTCTTGCTTGATGAACAATGAAAATTGTTGAAAATTCAGAAATTTTGAGTTGGCCTAATAAAGATATTCCTTCAATATGGAATTTAGATTCTTTTTCTCTGGGTCAATACATCTACTTTCACTTAACATATTAATTAAGATGCCTTGTATTACATGCTTTTAAGGATATTTGATGAAAGCATTATTCTAAATAAACTATGGAAACTCCAATAAAATTTTAACAGCTTACCTCAAAATTCTTATTCTATACTAAGGTCATTTCAAATAGCAGAAATTATTGGGGGGGGGGAATCAATTGCCAACTAAATGAATGGTTCCCACTTGCTCATTATTTTGCACTATGTATTCTTGCATTTGCTTTATTTTACATTCCCTGATATTTGCCAATCAGCCTGTTTATTCCAAAATCTAGCCTACTACTCCAAGAAATGAAAACAAAAGAAAACAAAATTGTAAGCCTATCCAGAAACCGTCTTACCTAGTTTTGCTGAGCAGTTTTGTTGGAGAGACATTAGAATGGTCTTCTCAATTTTCAAAGAGGGCAATGATAATTTTACCTATCACTATTCTGGGTATCTATAGCTAACTAACCAACTAGTTCTTTCTTAGATAACAGGAGAAGGAACAAACATATCAATTCCATTAAACTTTTACATGATTAAATCATTTTTAATTAATAACCAAAGTACAACCATGATATACTTGTCAAACTATAAAGGTATGAGCCAATTCCAGTACTGTATAAAAAGGAATTGCCTCCAAATTAGTACATTTTCTATGTTTTTGTCAATAACATACACATAATTCTTAATATGTACAACCAACCATTTTTTTTCTACCTGTCCCTTTCACAGAACTATGAATCCCTCAGACATTTTGGGTAAATTTAGTGAGTTATACTGCCACCTATACAAATACACCTTCAGATAATACATCAAAGAAAGCAGCATTAATCTATTTCTGTCACATACACATATATATGCAATTTGTATATTATATTTAGTTCTTCCCTGGTGTTCTTTAATGGTTCTATTCTTCTTTTAATCAATATTCCATAGACCTCAGGCAAAAGGTTTTCCCCAATTAACTTCTCAAGCACAGTTAAATTAATATTAGCATACTGTGTAAACTATATATTATACAACATATTTACCTTTTTGAACATCCCTATCAAGTACTTCATCGAATAGTTTCTCTTGGACTGTTGGTGGCAAATCTTCAATATCTGCAAAGGAAAACATTTAACCATTACACATCTGATGGCTTAAATGTACAACTTTCTCTACTTTACAAACTGTTTCATACAATATGAACACTCTTCAGAACAGGCTTACCCAGCATTATCCATGCATCCTTAGTTCCTCATGTAGCTCTTTTTTTGTCATATCTAAGCTCATCATGTGATACCTAAGGCACCAATACATATATAAGCTTTTATTGTGAACTAACACCAAATAATACAAGTAATGAACCCAACAATGACTAGAATGTAAAGCAAAGTTGCAGAACATAAGGCTTCAGAGGTGTAGAGCCCTGGGTGAAGCACCCAGATCCCTCCTAAAATTACCTCCAAATAATATATTTTAATATGACCCAGGAAAAATGTAAAATATATGGGTAGTAATAATGATATTTAATTTAAATTTTACTTACATATAATTTAAGTTAAATTAAATTAAATCTAGATTTTCTACTGACCCTGCTTACATTTTAGAATGCAACTTGAAAAAGACTGTGTACTGCTGTTATAGAGAGATAGTACCTTCATTACTCCTTTCAGAATGCAAATTCCAAAACCTAAAAAATTATATCTATAGACTTAAAATATTTCTTACTAAATCTACTCAGGCTACATATTTACTGTACAACATACTGTATTACTGAATTTGACAATCCAGGATGCTAGTATGCATCAATGTACAAATGTTATTTGTTAAAACTGAAAATTATAATACCTTAAAGTTTAAGCTGCAATTATGATAGTTACGCATTTTAAAATGATCCCAAACTTTATCATTTGTTCTACCTGTAATAATGTTATTTATTGAATAGTAAACATATTCTCCATTTCAATTATATAAGTTAGACACCCTATGTACACAGGTATTTGATCAGAATAAAATAATTTAGTCTGTATGTCTCCCACAAAATAATAAAATATTTGTGCAGCAAACATAATACATAATACAATCCTCTTAATTAGAGCTTCTAGACAAAATGAGTTTAGGAAAGTAGACTTGAAAATTCTATTAAGACACTCAGTAGCAAAGGCTTCTATCTTATTAATTCAAGTAACATTATTCTTGCTCCCTTTCCTGGCTTACCCCACTTAGCAAAAAAGATGCACCAAAAATAATTATTTTCACTTAGTAGTACAGCCAAATTGTTTTGCATTACACACTCCAATGAATCAGAACAAATTAAGTACAATTGGAGAATTGGAGACAAGAGGTATTCTGCTTTCAAAGCCCCTTCCAAAAACTCTTTTGCAACAAAAATATATGATAACTCAAACATAATGAGTATATATTGATGAAATTACTTTTTACAAATAATCTAAAAGCAAGGAAATCAAATGCTTGCTATAGTAATAGAACAGGTTGCAATTAAAATGCCCATTTCGGCTATGTTAAACTGGAAAAAAATTAAGCTCCATGAGAGTGAGCTTGCTATGGAGTGCCTGAACAAAGGTTCCAAATGAAAGCGGTTCTCCTCATGCCAATCTACACGGAATAACAGACAATAACACTGGAACTTCAGTGGAGAGCAGGATGTGAGAAACAACTGGTAGAAGAGGATGCATGAGGGAGGGAATATATTTCTATATATTTAATTATGCAGACATATTTTCCAAACTGTTGCCTTATGTAATATCTTGAGCTGTCAGTACCCTGTATTTACTTCAGGGATTGAGATTCAGGCAAAAGGATATTAGCTTGCAAAGTAATCATTAGTTTAGAAAGCCTGGCATCCTGTGGGTTTGTTTATTTAAATGATTTATATGACCACCCATCTCACAACAGTCTACAGCCAAACATCTACAGCCAAAAACTCATGATGCCCAAGGTAAAACAATACATCTCAGTTGTGAAAACTAAATCAGCTTTCCTAATCTCCTGGCCCAAATGCCTGGGGAAACAGCCAGGGCTTCAGAGCTTTGTGAAAGACTAACAGGGTTGGGGGCATCCAGATGTCTGGGGATTGCTGTTCCACAGAGCAGGAGCTACCACAGAGAAGGTATGACCCTTGGGTCCAAAAAGATGACATTGTTTATTAGAGGGGACCTACAGCACACCCACTCTGCAGATCTGGTGAGCTGAGCTGAAACAATGGGAGAGAAGTGGTCCCACAGATAGTCTGAGATGTTTATTTATTTATATTTCAAATTTGTCACTGCCTATCTCACTGCAGAGTGACTCCGGGTGGCTTACAGTAAAAAGAATAAATATTAATTAAAATAGAATAAATATTAATTAAAATAAATTACAAGAAGACTTCCTATATAAATAATAA